ATACAAGTTGGTAGCATGAGCTTCCGTAGACTTGAGCCTAATTCCTCATATGCATCTGTGGAAGTAGGCTAAAGTCCACAGAAGCTCATATTACCAACTTCTGTTTCAGTTGGTCTCAAAGATGTTGCAAGATCCCTTTTCATACAGATAATTGAAGCAGTTCTTCCCATAAACAAAAGACTGATCCGATTGTCCCTAAGCTCAGAAATCACAGGACAGAGGAAATTAACCTACCACTGGTATTGATAAAAAGGTATGACCAAAATATTCAATTATGTGGGTGATATGTTTGGTATGTGTTATACACTGCATAAACCCTTTGCATGTTCAATACTTTTATTCTCTGTGTTCCATGCATTAGTAGAAGTACATTGCACCCATCTGTAGTATTTCTGTTGGTGAAAGCTGGACCATTCAGTAAAAGATAACCATTCAGGAAGAGAATAGAGGGAACAAGAAAAGATTTGTGTGCCCCTTTTAATGCAGGATTAGCAAACACTGGTACTATCTGGCTTGTGTACTATTGGCTTGTAATGTTTGCAGAGTACATTTCCTTGCCTGAGATTCTATTCTCCCATTTTGTTTTCTGCCTAAAGAGCACTGAATGTGTGGTTTTCCTTTAATAATTAAATATATTAATCAACTCAAGATAATATACAAGGTTCTTCTCTTCCCTGCTTTATTCCCGTAACAACCATTTAAATTAGGTTATCCTGGCCAGTGAGTTATCCAGTTAATTTCAGTTTAGTTGGAAGCCAAATCTCCCAATTCCTCATCCAGTGTGAGCCAGTGTTGTGTAGTGCTTTGAGTGGACTCTGGATACCAAGCTTCAAATTCCAGCTCAGCCATGGAAACCCCCTGAGTGACCTTGGACAAATCACTCTTTCTCAGCTTCAGAGGATGGTAAAGGCAAACCCCCACTCAAGAAACTTGCCAAGGAAACCATTATAGGTTCACCTTAGGGTTGCCGTGAGAAACAACCTGAAGGCACACAACAGTGCAGCACCCTAAACATTGCATTACAGTGCCTCTCCTTATTGTACAAAGCTGCAGTATACCATATTGCAGAGCTCTTTCTACTAGAAGCATGAGATTCTAGGACAGGGGTAGGAATCTTTTTGAGCCAGGGGCCGGGTTGCTGTCCCTCAGACAATTGGGGGGCCGAAGCCAATATATACAGGGGTTTTGCCATCATGGCTTTTCTGGGGCTGAGAGTGTGCATTCATATTTTTAATTATGAATGTAGGCGGTGGCGGTGACGGCAGCAGGACCGGCCTGGGGCCGGCCCAAAGGCCTCAGGGGGACGCATCCGGCCCCTGGGCCTTAGGTTGCCTACCCCTGCTCTAGGACATAAGTGATATGGTGCCTCAGGTGGCATATTTAGTTTCCAATAAAGCCCAAGAAATTGATACGATGAAAGATGAATTTTGCTTATTTCTTTGATTTGTTCCCACCACATGTTGTTTTAAGAGTAGCACACACAAAACTACCTTACAGTCCTTCTATTCAAAGATACATGTGTTCATTCAGCCCAAATACAACTTTAATATTGATCTGTGGTCTGGATTTAAGAGGATTCTTGTATTTGGTGCAAATCAAGAATGAACACGGGTTGTTGTTGTATGCTTTCCAAGTCCTTTCCAACTTATGGTGACCATAAGGCAAACCTATTGTGGGGTTTTCTTGCTAAGATTTTGTTCAGAGGTTTGCCATTGCCCTCCCCTAGGGCCGAGATTATGTGACTTGTCCAAGGTCACCCAGTGTTTCATGGTCAATTTGGGAATCAAACCCTGATCTCCAGAATCATAGGGCCTTTGCAGACTGCCAGAAATAGTGCAAATTGAGTCCACTTTAAGGGTTAGGGTTAGTGCTAGGAAATCATGGGAACTGTTTTTTTTCCTGAGACATTGAGCCTTCTCTGTCAGAGAGCTCTGGTGCCACAATAAAATACAGTTGCCATGATTCCCTAACCCTAACCCTAACCCTAAAAGTGGACTCAATTTGCACTATTTCTAGCAGTCTGCAAAGGCCCATAGTCTCTTTTAGATCAAAGCATCCCCTGCTGGGGATCAAAGCATCCTGCTTTGATCCTGCAGGGGATCAAAGCATCCCCTGCTGGGGATGCTTTGATCCTGCACTGAGCAGAAGATAGGACTTGAAGCTCCATAAAGCCCCTTCCAACTCTGATTCTATGAACACACACACAGTGTAATGTAGGAATTTGTTGCGTGCCTTCAAGTCATTTCTGACTTTTGGCTACCCTAAAGTGACCCTATTGTTTTTTTTTTTTTTGCAAGGTTTGTTCAGTGATTTGCTATTGCCATCCTCTGCGGCTGAGTGCATGTGACTTGCCCAAGATCACCCAGTGGGTTTCACCGCAGAGCTGGGAATTGAACCCTGGTCTCCAGAATCATAGTCCAACACTCAAACCAATACATCACGCTGGCTCTCTTTCATTGAATCAAAGCATTAGTCTCTCTCTCAAATCCATGAACACACTGAATTGTTTAGTTTTGGCTGCCACATCACTGAAAGCATATTGTAGAGCTAGAACAGTAAGGCTAGTGTAGTCAAGTGGTTTGAACATAGGACTAGGATTCTGGAGATCTGGGTTTGATTCCCCACTCGGCCATGGAAACCCACTGAGTGACCTTGGGTGAGTCACACTCTCTCAACCTCAGAAAACCCCATGGGTCGCCACAAGTTGTAAAAAACTTGAAGGTACAAAACAACTCAACAGTGCAGAAGAGAGTAACCAAGATAATCAACTGGAACAACACCCATGTAAAGAAAAATTACAAAGTTTGGAACTCTTTAGACACAAGGTGAGAAGAGACAATACAGAAGTACATGTAGTTGTGTTTGGCAGGAAGTGAGAAGATTGAGAGCTTTTCTCACCCTCTCATAATAGTTTGCTGTTGTTGCGTGACTTCAAGTCATCTCCAATTTATGGCGACCCTAAGGCAAACTTTTCATGGGGTTTTCTTGGCAAGATTTGTTCAGACGAGGTTTGCCACGGCCATCCTCTGAAGCTGAAAGCATGTGACCTTCCCAATATCACACAGTGGGTTTTATGGATGAGCTGGGAATCAAACCCTGATCTTCAGAGTCACTCACTACACCAGTACTACAACTTGGGATTATCTACTGAAGCCAAATGGTGGGGAGACTCCATACTGTTAAAAATACTTCTTCATACAACAGTTAAACTGATATTTGCAGCAAGTTGCAGTGAGAGTTATCAACTTGACCATCTTTAAAAACAGTTAAGACAGCCTAATGCAGTGGCTCCCAAACTCTGTTCCTCCAGATGCACCAGTACCTGGAGGTTGTGTGCTTAATACCAGTTGCTGGGAACCAGTGAGACATGGTGGCATGAATACACTAACCTTCTGCTTAAGAACTTCAGTGAGGCATTTGGTTGGCCACGATGGGAAACAAGATGGTGGACAAGATAGTCTTTTAGTCTAATACAGTAATAGCATTTAGCAATAGCATTTACATTTATATACCACTTCATACTGAACTAAGCAGTCTCTAAACCAGGGGTAGGCAACCTTTTTGAGCCAGGGGCCTGGGGCCGGTCCAAAGACCTTGGGGGGGCCGCGTCCGGCCCCCAGGCCTTAGGTTGCCTACCCCTGCTCTAAACAATTTATAATCTGTAAGCCAATTGCCCCCCAACAACCCGGGGACTCATTTTACCAACCTACAAAAGGATGGAAGGCTGAGTTGACCTTGGGAGTCCCCCAGGATCAAACTCACAATGTTGTGGCTGCCGTACCAGCACTTAAGCATGGCTCCACCAAGGCTCCAAGGTGCTCTTGGTGTCCTTCTTGGAAGGTATTCTTACAGCCTAAAGTTGAAGGCATGGTCAAGAGCAGTGCGGGTATAGCACTGCTTTTTTGACAAGGTGGATAAAGGGCTGAGGGAAAATTCTGAACAGAATCATGTTAGCAGTTTACATGTAATATGTCTTTTTGGGTAAAAACACCGGTGTCTAGGCTCTTACACCCCATCCAAGGCCTTCTACTCCAGTGGTGAGGGCAGGGAAGCAATTCAGAGGGCAAAGAAATGGCTGGTCTTTGTTCTGAGGGGAAGAAAAATGACACCTGGGAGCACACTCTCATTTCTTGTCCCCTCCGAGCCCAAGCCAGCTGAATCTTTCTCCTCTAACTGCCTCCCCATTCCTCCCTTCTCTACCAGGAAGGAGCAGTTTCAGCAGTTGCATCCCAGGGCTTGACACCTAACAGAGCAGGGGAAGGGGCACAACATGGAATTGCACATGTGAAGTGTTACACAACACCAACCTGATGTAAAAATCTTAAATTTCTACCAGGGGCCAAATGAAACCCGTGGCCACTACTGATATAAAGAGTGGATTATTCTTAGGGTGCATCTACGGGCCTTTGCAGACTGCTAGAAATAGTGCAAATTGAGTCCACTTTAACTGCCCTGGCTCAGTGCTAGGGAGTCATGGGTATTGTATTTTTTTCTGGGACATTGAGCCTTCTCTGTCAGAGAGCTCTCGTGCCACAATAAACTACAGTTCCCATGACTCCCTAGCACTGAGCCAGGGCAGTGCCTCAATTTAATGTGTGCTATTTCTGGCAGTCTGCAAAGGCCCTACATCTACACTGTAGAAATAATAGTTTGACACTATTTTAACTGCCATGGCTCCATCCAACAGAATCGTGGAATTTGTAGTTTTGTGAGGCATCACCAGCACTCTTTAGCAGAGAAGGCTAAAGACCACGTAATGCTGCAAACCCCAGGATTCCACAGGATGGTGCTACAGCACTTAAAATGGGGTCAAACTGTATTATTTCTACAGTGTAGCTGCATCCTAAGCTTCATGAAACACTTTCCCAAATATACAGTGAAGAAATGGTAGATGGCTCAAGTTTACCCAAGGGTAAATGGTTTGTGAATGCACTAATACTCCCTTCACTTAGCTCAAGGTGTTAGTACATTAGTTTTGTTTGGCTTTCACAGAGGCTGCATAAACTTGTTATAACTTTTTTTTATGCACAAGGTGTTTATTTTAAGATGTTCGTTATAAGTAGGTAAAAGATTATGCACTTAAAAATAACGTCTTATTCGACTTCTGTTTTTCACAGCAACCGTTCATAGGTACTAAAATACACACAAGACATTTGGGCTTGGTGAGAGGGCTCTAGAAGTTTCTATCAGTTATGAGGAAATCACTCATTTTCTATTTATTTCTTGGAGGCCCCACGTGGAAATAGGATAGCCACAATATGACAGCCACACCAATTAAGGAAGGCTGGCTATGATTTTGTCTGAATAAATAACAACGTACGCCTTTGTTGTTTTTGTGAACTCTATCTACGTAGGTCCAAATCTACCTGGCATACTACTGAATGGTTAAAAACACAGAGATTAGAGGAAGGAGAATAGCAACAAGAGCAAAATAATAAGAATAATAATAATAATAATACTTTTTACATACAGTATGTGTGGGAAACATCTGGCTCTGCAGATGTTTTGGCCTACAAATTTCATCACTCCTACCCAGCATGGCCAGTGTTAAAGGATTGTGGGGGTTGAAGGATATAACTTCTGTAGGGCAAATGTTCCAAATGACCTAATTCACAACAGAAAGTTACTTAAGATGGTGGCCAGAGTATGAAAGCAGAGTTCTTTCTGAATTAGAATTCAGACTATTTCAACGTCAAATCAAAGTTGCTGAATTTTCCATTTTTTTTTAACCGGGGGGGTGATGTTTAAGAGGAATTATGGATATCCATTGCCCCAGCACCTCTGCCCACCCTGCTTCAACAAAGTCAACCATGGTTCCATGATCATTTACCCATGTCTCTCCAATCAGGTTCAGTAATTCAAAGAAAAACCTCAACATCGTAGGTTATGCGGATGTCTGTCTCTTGCACTAAGACATCCAAGTGTTTTGAGGCTTCAAGTTTCTGTTTCTGAGGTAGTTTATCACCTACACAATGGATCTGGGCCTTCTGCAGATATAAGATGCATTTCAGTCCCACAAATCCTAAGTAGAATTCTACACCACCACTCTTAGACCATCAAGGATTGTTCTATTTCAGTCACAGGAAAACATATTAAAAAATTGGATCAGGCTGATTTCCATCACAGGGAACCTCTGAGGAGTTCATTTTTTAAATGTGTCTC